GGCTTTTTACTATAAACTATTATAGTTTAAAAATAAATACAATTATTAATATTAAATTTTACGATTTAGTGAAATAATTTATTTTTGACTTAATAATAAAATTTTATAAAGATAATGATTCTGTTAAAACTCAATGATTATTCTAATTATATTTTTGTTTTTTATATTTAAAATGAGATGTTTATATTGTATTTGATTATGTTTATCTGTAATTAGTTATACGAATTCAAAAATGAAGTTTTAATAAGTTGTACTTAGTCACAATTTACTTGTAATCTTAAATAAGTAATATGCATTAATACACAGTACTTTATCCATAATAAATATTTTTTAAAAGTTTTTGTCAAATGTTTTATAATATAATATATATATATACATGTAGAATATAAAGTAGTAAATGTTTTTTTAATTTAGTAAAAGTGTTCTATAAATATACGTACATATGAAAAATATTAATATCAATATGGGTTTTCGGATTAAAGAGAATAAAATACTTATTTTTAATCTAATTTATTTTGTTAAAATATTTAAGATAATTTAAGTTTTTTCTTTAAATTGAGATAAATAAGTGAGAGGCTGTTTACCTAAATGCTTACCCGGTAATTGTTTAATGTTAGGAGTCAACACTATAATTTATTTTATAGGGTAAGATTGTAGTACATCAAAATGTATCATATGCAACAATTTACCTGGTAAGCACTTACCCAAATAAGAGTCATCACCCTCACTTATCGGATAAGATTCTTCATCTTTATCATCACTTTTACCAGGTAAACGTTTAGTAAAAACGGCCCCTAAGTTCCAAAACTTGACTGATTCATATGAAATAATAAAATAAGAATATTAGAGAAATTGATAGATTCTGTATGCATAGTTAATTTGTACTTGTTTTCTTGAAACTATTATAATTGAATATTTTAATAATATAAATAATAATATAATTTTTAAAATGAGAAAAACTATTGGAGTTGATTGAATTTTTTTTTTTTTTTGTAAATTTTGATTTTCAATTCTCTATTTTAAAGATATTTTAGAGAATCTGTTGGAACTGTTTCGGCTTCGTTTGGCATACTAGTTGATAAGCTAGCTATTGGCTGATAAACTAGCCTTAGGTAATAAGTTAACTAATGAACTAATTACGTTAAATAAAAACTATCTGATAAATTAGTTGAAAAATATAAAAATGACTAAAAAAACATATTAGAAAGTTAATAAATTTTAACATTTCATAATATATTTATTAATAATATAGTATTTTAACTAATACAAACAAACAAATTAAATAATAAAATATATTAATTAATAGAATTTTTATTCAATTTATATACATAAATATAATTAAAAAACGTTTATATTTATTTAAAAAATATTTCATTGGAAGAGAGCATCTTTTTGTTTCTAGGAGATGGTGTCGATTCACTTCCCAAGGTTGATAATCACAAATTCTATACATCAAAAGTTGGTAATTTTTTTTATTTATATATTAATTTTTAATTAATTTAATTTAATAAAATTAATTTTATAACAGTTTGTATAAACCGTTGGTACCAAACGAAACCAAATTCAAGATACTATCGGATTTTGTTTACTTTTTAGTAGTTCTATTAAGATGTTGTTTTTAAATCATTAAGAGATAAATCATAGTTGACAAAAAAATGTCTGTATTTTACTAGTTCTAAAACCCTCTGAATGATTTGTATCTTGGACCCCTCTTAACCGTTCAACACCTTAATTCCATTTTAAACAATTATCAAACAATTATATATATATTATATATATATATATATACACACACACACATATATTTAGTCATAAGTTCAAATGAGAAGTCTAAAAAAAATATAAGAATGAGAGAAACAATCTCAACCAGTAATTTAAATTTTCTATTTTTAAGTTTATTTTTACTAATTAAGATAAGCATGGGAAAACAGATATCTTATTTTATTTCCTATTTTTTCTATAACCACTTTCACTACAAAAATGAAGAGTATCAACGAGGGAAAATTCTCTCGCAGATCCATCACTAATGGGGTCTTTCGTCGCTGATAGTTCGTCGGTCAAAAGCTCGTAGGTAATGAACGGATTTGCGAGGGAACTTTTCAGCGACGGATCAGCGAGGGAATTGGTTTTTGGCCATTCCCTCATTGATCTCTCGTTGATCAGCAAGAGATTTTTTCAGTCGCTAATTTTCGTGCTGATACCTTGTTTTCTAGTAGTGTTCTGGATATTCAACAATTTTTTATCCAATTTTTCACCTTGAAATCATTGATGATTTTACAATTTATAAATTGAATTATTTATCATTTTAGTAAATCTCATATGTGACCATGTAAATTCTAACATAGGTTCATATGTGAATATTAATCATACATTGTACGTGAATCAATTTAAAATTTATACTCAAATTTTTGAATCATTTTAAGATTTATATTTGAATACGTAAATCATAAATAGATTCACATATGAATCTTAATTGTAATTTGTACATGAGTTAATTTACAACTTATAAACAAAGTTTTGAATTAGTTATATAT